GATCCTTCATTTTTGCATAATTCCAATTTTTACATAATGATCAGGTCTATGGGAATTCCACATGTCTATGAGTTAGGAGTGAATTTAAATCAATGCAATGTAAAACTTGATTCAATCCTTGGTAAACTTATGAAGAAAAAAATGTTCAATATTTTTTGCACATTTATCCTACGTGTAGTTTTTCAAATCCTTATCATGTACATATTTTGAGCAAGGCTCTGTCATCAATGTTCCTCTGTTCTACTTCCCCCGGATGATCTTTATTAGATTGTCAATCCATCTCTTTTTTCCAATCCATCTGGCTGTTATTGACAATAAACCTTCACCTCTTATTGCAAGTCTTCAATTTAACTTGCTATATATGGCAAATGAGCAATGTTTCAATAATATTGTTGACTTAAAAAGTATGTTCGCATAGGTCCACTTCAAAATAATTGGGTAAAGAAGAAAGCCTTAGTGTGACAAACTGAAAATGTGTCTGGCATCTGACAACAACAACAACAAAATAAAATCTAGGAAACGAATTGCCATCAAGTCAACTCCAATTTCATGAGTACCCTGTGAATGTTAAAGTAGAGTGGCACCCCATATGTTTTACAAAGCTTAGAAATGGAACACTAAGCATTTCTTTTGAGGATGGATTCAAATCACTGTTTTATGATTAGCTTGTGGGCACATTAACCATATCCCTAGGCACTCCAATGCATGAATAGATTGTGAGTTACATTTCACTGTTATACTAATATATATGTGTGTGTTTGTGTACATATATACATAAAATATATATCCATACATACTTATTCTGAATTCTATTATACACAACTTATTTTTCAGGCAGTCTTAAGAATTTTTTTAATCTAGAATTAATTTGCCACTCCTATAAATATTAAAATTATCAAGTCATTAGATAGTCAGATATTTGGCAAATATAGAAGAAATGTATTTTTTTAAGAATAACAATGATGAAATAGAATGTGACTTCATGCAAAGCAGAGTGAAAATTGTCTACAGATTATGATTGGCAAATTAAAGTTAATAACACAATAGTATTATACAAATTTAAGATGTATATGATATTTTTGATCTGTGTATGTGTGTGTGTGTGTGTGTGTGTGTGTGTGGTGTCCAGTCCAGTCAATTCTAACTCATAGCAAAGCTATAAAGACCTAGAAAACTTACTGTCATCAAGTTGATGCTGACTTACAGTGACCTCATAGGACAGAGCCGAAGTGTCACTGTGGTTTAAGAATTGTACCTCTTTATGGAAATAGAAAGCCCGTCTTTCTAATGGAGCTGGTGATTTAACACTGGTGACCTGGTTAGCAGCCAAATGCAGAACCCATTATGCCAGGAGGGTTGCACTGGAACAATTAGAACTGCCCCTTCGGGTTTCCAAGACTGTCATGCTTTATAGGCGCAGAAAGCCTTCCCTTTGTCCAGAGGAGGCTGGTGATTTCAAACTGCATAACCACTACAACATCACAACTCCCCTAGGCCAAACTGAAGCTATAGGACAGAGCCTAGCTGCCCCGCAGTATTTTAGGCCATACTCTGTGGAGGAGCATATTGCCCAGTCTTGTCTTCCGTGGTATGGCTGATGTGTTCAAATTGGCAACTTTTGTTTAGCAGCTGAGCACTTTATCTTGCATGCCCAGGGAACCTCCAGAAGGCAATGCCAGACTGAAACTGGAGAGCATAATTCAATAGAGAGACAGTGGAAGGCCACAGGGCAAGAATTTTAGGAGAGTGGAAGGCTTAAATAAAACTTAAGCCTGCCGAAAATGAATAAGAGATGAAGTGTTTGAACTGTTGAACCCGTTAGGCCTAATAATTAGACATAATAAAAGTGAGGGTGAAAAAAATTGATTGAAAGTCGATAAATGGAACACATGTATGCCCAGATTCTCTTTCCTAATGATGAAACTCTTATACCAGTTTGACGTCAAAGACTTGTTTTCTGAGTAATTTGACCAAAGAAACCTGCTCTTAGAAATAGTAGGTCCAGTTCTGGGCAGGGTTTGGGCACGTATAGAAAAAAAGAGGCTCACAGAGCCATTTATCCCTCCGCCCTTCAACTAATCCCACGTGTGTTTATCAGACAGGTTGGCACAATAAACTCACTCATCATTCAAGCCAAAAAAGAGGCAATTATTAACTGTAGGAAAACCAAGAATGAAAACAAATTCGTAGACCATGATGTCACATGGCTGTAAATAACTAGAGCCATACAATGTAAATACTGATTTTATATTGACACTGTGATACTACGGTAGCAGGTACTCATTTCTTGCAGGTCATATATTTTCATGTATGCTTATTCACCGAAATGTATTTACAATCCAAGATCTGTATTTCCAATGTTTTCAAACATGATGTCTAAGTACCTGTGAAGGTCAGTGACAGTTTCCAGGGACTGAGGAGGTAGTTTCCAAGCTGGGGTCGAACAAGGTGACTCCCTCCTCCTTGTTTCATGCTCTCACCTCACCATAAACACATGTTCTTTTATGCTCTGCTTACCGATTTTTGTTAGTGCTTTTTGTTAGTGATTTTGCTGCTCAAAACCGTCCCCAAGCATAGGACTGAAGCGTTGTCTGGTGTTCCTGAATGAAAAGAGGCTTTCATAAGCCTTCTGAAGAAAATGAATTTGTTAGATAAACTGTGTGCAGCCATATGGTATCGTGATGTTGGCTTTGAGTTCAGTGTTAATGGAATGAGTTCAGTGTATATTCTAAATGTCTTTGAACAGAAAAAACCATATTATGGGTTAATCATTGACTAAAATGTTGTGTGACCAGAGGCTCATGGGAACCTGACTCTGCTTTCTCTATGAGCAGTGAATGATTCCTGGATTTCTGATTAAATTCTCATAGTGATGTTATATACCTACCATGAATAAAGAAAACCAATTGTTTATAGAAAAAGAAGTAGGTTTAGAAGAATAGTTGATTTGCTATATCTTCATATTCTATATTGGAAATAATAATTATGTTTATAATGATCAAGAGAAAAGGCTATACTGATGTCATTTAAAGTCAGGTTATTATCTAAATAAGTACACAATAGAAGTAAGAACTGACCTGCTGCGAGAGACAGATTTGTCGTTATTACCACATTTTATTACCATATTATTATATAACATTATGAGAGCATGACTTATCTTTTTAAACTGTGGATTTTGTATTACTTTGATAAAAATTGAATTGAAAGGTATTTTTAATGCAAATTATATGTAATTTACTCTATTTTAAATCTTAGCTTCCCCTCTAATTTGAAAAAATCACTTTCTCTAGTGTTTCTTATTATTTCTAGTAGCTTATTTCTTAGTTGAGGGATTTTTAAAATGTTTCCTTCTAAACTAGTTGATGTAGATGAGCACTTGTAGCTTCATGCCTGTCATAAAGTCCTAAATCCTCTAACATTACTTCCATTTACTCCTGGAAGGGGCTAAGAATTGTAGTACCTGTTTCAAATAACAGCATGTTGTATGTGGAAGACAGATCCAATTTGACCGATGATTCTAAGTGATAAAACAAGACACTCGAGGTTCAAGAAGCCCTGTGCAGCTCAATAGCCTCCAGGAGAAATGTGCCCGTAAGACAGGGTTGTACCGGAACACAGATAACGTGTGACTTCTGATGCAGAGGGTCTGTCAAATGTAACCTGGACATCAAGTAACAGGGGGACAAAGGGAGAAAACGCAAGCACGCTGGGTGCTGTTCCAGGGACTTCATTGTGTTGTAAGTTTGTTGGCCCTTCTTTCACATATGATACAATTCCATACTTCAGTCACATCAAG